TTTTTTTTCATTTTTTATATTTTTCTAAATCTGAAAATTTCATTTTTTTTTGTATTTTTTTTTGCAKTTTCTGCATTTTTCTATATTTTCTACAATTTTCTATTTTTATGTGAAATGATACTTTTATTTAACTTTGTAATTATTTTTCTCTATAATTTTTTTTATGTTTTACATGTATTATATTTATCATTTTTAGTATTTTTTGCATTTTTATTTTTATTTGAAAAATAATTTTTAAACTTTTTATCAATTTTATTTTTCTATATATATAGATTTTTAGTTTTATCATTTCAATTTTTATATTTTATGTTTTCTCATAGGTTGGATCAGGATGAGTCATATAAGTGGGTCAGGGTGGGTCATATGGGTGGGTCTGGGTCAAGGTTAGGGTGGGCTATGACCTACTAAGATCAATAAATATGGATGGATAGTGGGTCAGAGGGTCAATATGGGTGGATTGTTACTCAACCCACACCCAACTCAATTCATCCATTTACCATCCGTAATCTCAAAGAAGGAATTTCTGAGCTCATGTGTAGGAGTTGGAGCGTGAAGGTGCAACCAATTGATGCAAATTTCCTTGCTAAGTTGGGATGGAGTTTGATGTAGCGCAATTTGGTGCTTCCTGGTGGAGGACAGCTTGGACATCAGGCTAGTGAGGTTGCCTAATCGAGCTGCAAGACAAGTATGTCAAAGTGTCCGGGGTGCTTTACCCGGTGTGGGCACTCTGATGCTTAAGTTAAGAGATTTGGAGGTTTTGAGAGAGCCGAAAGTTAGATTGCAAGAGAATTCAGAGAGCTGAGTCACGTGTACCTTGTGAGACTAGAATCAAGGCCTTTATATAGGTGAGTTGCCGTAGGCCTCATGATACGTGTCTAAGATCATTGGCTCGTCTGATCCGGAGTTGGTTTCGCACCCGAAGATGGATTCCACATAAGCTGATAAGGCTTATCCAGGTCCGTCCGAATCGGGCGGGGAGAAGATGAACTCCGCTGATGTGGTGCCGTGATCTCGAGGATATCGGAGGCAGCTAGCTTGCTTCTAGATAGGGGTTATGCGGCACCTCGACAGATCGATGTATATAGTTGAGCTACTCAAGCATCAGCCTATCTGGGTGACTTGAGGTGCATGAGGTGACTGGGATCACTGAAGTCACCGAGGTGGCTGAGGTGTCACCACATCATTCTGTCACTCCATGTGTCATCACATCATTTGACGGGCCAAATTGTCCCTCATCAGAGTTCAAAACACATTCAAATATTCCCAGTAAATTTTTTTTTTCGCTTTTGCTTGCTAATGTTGTTGGAGTGTCTACTCCTTGGTTATGTCATGAATTAGTTTTGTTGTTTTGTTTCTTTTGCTTGTTGATGCTCTTAGACTCCAACCGCATAAGAATTTTCAATTGTAGATGTTACATGTTGGATGAATTGGGATTTGCTCCTCATAGCATGCCTCACAACAACATCCCACCCTATATTAGGAACATCTTCCCATGAATAATAACTTCAAGGATGGGAGATATTCCCAATATGTGGCCAGAACATGTTGTGAGGTCGGTGTGGGGCGCACAAAGTGAGAAGCAGATGCAGATCCGGACTCTAGTTGGATAAGAACTCAGATCTGCTGCCAACCAAATACTCCCAACAATTCCCAAATCACCATTGCACAGGAACATCTTTCCATGAAAATGACAAGGGAGATGTTTCCAATGTGCAACTGCAATGCCACTTGGCACACTGTTGGAGCCAAGGCCAAGACATGTATCCATTCATACCACCAGCGCAATCCAGATCACCTGTCAATAAAACATGTTTCAATCCTCTACCAACATGATCTCACACCGCACATCGTTACTTGTTATCCCAATTGCCACGCGCGCCACGGAGAATCAAAACTCCCATGCTTTCAGCATTCCTGGTCAATTTTTTTAGGGCTATTGTAATTTCTCCGAATAAAGTTCAACAGAATAGTTCTATCGTTTGGATTTCCACGTTGTCAAGATGATTCCGTATAAAAATAAAGAGCTGGATGTTGGAATAGCTTTCCTTTTATAAGCAAGGTGATGAAACGTCACTATTTGCTTGTCGTTTACAGAAAAGTAGAGACTATAGATTGAAATTTGAAAACCACGACAAGCGGTTGGTTATACACTTGTACAGTTCTACTTCAACCCAATCCACCAAACTCACCAAGTCTCTCAGATCTGCCCATCTCCTCCTCCTACTATGTTAAAATATCTAATCTGAAGCCTCTGAAGGAGAGAGCCCATTCGTAATTCATATTCATTGCCCAGGAGGGGAACTCGTTTTCATTTTTTGATTCACCGAGACAGAGGAGGAAATCGAGATCCGAAGAGAGAGAAGGAGAAAGATGTGTTGTTGTTGCGGGGGTAAGATGTGCAGACTGTGTACGTGTTTGATCTTGGTGGTGATATTGATCGGGCTGATCTTCGGGTTTGGAGTGTTCAAGCATGGATTTCAGAAGTTGAAGAATACGTTGCACGATGACTACATTTATCCAGGAAGCGTTGGAGTTGGAAGGACCAATGGCGCCGTATTCTCTCCCTCGGGAAGACCATTCTTGGGCTATGGAGCCCCTCCCGTGCCACTCTAGGGTTTCTCCTTGTCTTCTTTTTCTTATTATTCTTATTAGCGTCATGATTTTTCCCCTATTTGGATGGATTCTGAGAATGCGTGAAGACTGTTGGAATTTCTTTGACATGCTAGCTTTTGTTATTAGAATATGAGATTTCTAGGGTTATTTTCTGCATACCCTTGATTTTATCATATGTAGTGGAATGGACCTGCCATTTTCTAGGGTTATTAATTTTCCATTCCGGATTCTGAAACATGTTAAATACAAGGAATTAAGCTTTCTCAGAAGCCAAGAAAGCAGTAAACAATTTACCTTTCCAACGATTAAAAAAAAAACCGTCGAAGAAGAAATCTAAAATCTTTCTTCCACTCGTCTCTACACCCTACAGTTTACAATCACGATTTTTTTTCCTCGCTAGTCGGCTCATTTATAAACTTCCAGAGAAGATTAAACCCAGGAATCTTCTGACAAGTCTCTCTACATTTGGGAATGGGGAATTTGGGAAAGGGAGTTTCGTTAATTGTGATTCAAAAGTGCCTCTGGGGAAGAAGGCTCCTTTCCAAGTCAATGTGGGTCACTGATGTAGATTTTAGGTGCCAAGCTTTTAAGTAGATAAACCAAGGCGCGTTTCTATTGGTGTAGGGAGCAGAAAATAGCCGTATTTTTGTCCCCCATCACCTCAACCATGGATGATGCTTGATACTTCATTATCCACAGAAATGAATCCTAGGCATGGAGGTTGGAGCTACTATGAATCACGCTATGCCATCTTTCATTTGCTGCCAAAAAAATGACATTCATTTGGCATGCACAACTTTCATAGGTCATACATACATACATCTAGTACTAATAGTACTATGAGAGCATTTATTTTGCCCTTAGAATGTTGCACTAGAAATTCAGCCTTATCTCTACATTCTATCTATGGACGAAGAGTACTTGGGGTGAGGGGCTCCGCCATTGTATCTCAGAAGTCGGGATTAGGACCTAAAAGGCCTTGTCAGGGAATGCTACGGTGGGGGTACTTCTCTGAACTTCCTTCTAGTTCTAGTTGCCATTCACTGATTCATCATGGCTATCTTCTAATTGCCATCCGCTGATTCATCATTGCTATCAACTCCCTTAAGGCTGTGTTTGTACTCTGATTCACTTTTTGACAACATTACATTTATACATTGACAAATGACAGGTCAATGCATATTTACATTGATAATAAAACGTATATAAAGAAATACGGACAGGCTCAATGCAGATTTCTAATTTCCATTGTAGAGTTATAAATGTTCAAAAGGTCAAAAACCCCCACTCTATCCATCAATTCCCGCCTGTGAATTGACATCAATTCTAAGCTGGCACCCACCCCTACTGTACTTTAGGCCTAAAGATTCTGACTCTGGGTTAAACTATCATTTTCCCAAAAGTATATCAATAAAAAAGAAGTAACTTTGCATTCATTTTTTATAAAAAAAAGCACATGTTTTATTGAAATTCGCGTTAGTATCCATTACAGCTCAAAGTCTGTTTGGTAAGAAGATAAATTTGTCGGTGCAAAACTAACTCAAGTTTGCAATTTATATGAATCGATTTACAATTTGTATATTTGCATTCACACTTATTTGCATCATTTCTAAACGCAGCCTAAGCGTTTCAAGAAAAAGAGAAGAGAAACCATAAGACTTGTTTCAAATGCTGGCCAGATATTCTGGAAAATGGTCAAAGCAAATTAAGCACTTTTTAATGCATGAAAAGATGAATTAGGTCGATTCTCTGTCCACAATCCACACCACAAAAGGATGTCTTACTGCCAATTCTTTTTTCTTTATTGGTAGGGAATAGAGATTAAAAGTTGGGGGTGCAACTTTGGAGTTCTGATGAATTGTGCATTAATATTGATTTGATGCACCGAGAAATAAAATAGGGAGAAGTATAAACAGGCCCAATACAGATTTCTGATTTCTACTGCAGAACAATAAACATTTAAAAGGTTAAAACCCACACTCTATACACCCATACCTGTCATGAATTAGCATCAATTCCAAGCTGACACCTACTCCAAATGTACTTATAACATTGCTTAGAATTAAAACTTCAGAGTTCTCATTAATATTGATTTGACTGCACCCAGAAATAAAATATGGCATTGCCTGGAATATCCTACTGCCAATTCGGCAATTACTTTTGTATGGGGTCTGTTCTCATTGCGGGCGATGGCATTGTTAAAAGAAAAAGAAAAAATCTAGAGATGAAATTATCAACTAGGAAATGTGAAGGATTGGCCCAAGGACTCCTTTTCTTTTATTATAAATGATATCTTTTTAATTACAATGATCTGTCTGTGAACTTTGTTAGTCGCTTCGGAAATGAGGCAGCTCATGCCTTAGCTTTTCGTGGTTTTGATTGCAGTGTATTCTTTCATATAAACCATTAAATTAAAACATGTATTTCTTGTGCAATTTATACCTTATTGACAATTATTTCAATCTTAGATTCAGTCTATATTGTATTTGTGGGATTTGTGAAAACATCCAAACGTAACCAGATCTTTCCATAGTATCCATAAGCATCCAGAGCATACCATGATACATGTTGCAGCATACCAATCAATGCCGATATGGCGATATCTAAGGATGTTTCTTCCATCTAGCCATCGGTCATTGATTAGGTCATGGTCAAGGTTTGAGGGTAGGTCAGAATCTGGAACCAACTTACTTATCAGCATACTACAGGAGCATGTAGTATTAAAGTGTATTAAAGTTCTGGTTAAATTGAACTGGAGGGGGGGGGGGGAGCAGTGAAGTAAGTTTCCTTGACATGTAGATACAATTTGACTGAATGAAACTCAAATTTACAAGCAATCAAGTAATCAATCAACAGGAAAAAAAAGGGAATTGTACAGATATTTAACGTTAACCATATTTCAGAAATCAATGCCTAGATCCCTATAGTAGAACAACTAGTCCACGCAACCAGAAGATATACTGTCACTATAAAACTAGTAGAAGGGGTTTGACTTGATAAGTGGGTTCACAAATTTTAACTGCAACAACCCCCTGCTTGAGAAGCGGACCCGTCCCTGCCTCCTGATGGCCCTGGTATTCCTCCATATCCGACTTTTATTCCATATGACTGCAGCAAAAAAAGACAAGGACAGCAAGTATCAGAAGGTTCATTCTCCTCCAAGAAATTGCAAGAATAATTACAAGTCATTTGATACATCGAAGGAAAGCCAGTATCACATCTTCTACAAGACGTAAGTTACTCCAAAGGGAAAAAGAAAGTTAACCTCATTCGACACATCAAAGACCCCTTCCTGAATCTTCTTATAGATAGTTGCAGCTGTGCTTATGAATGCCTACATAAAATTACAAATCATCTTTATATAAAAAGGAAAACAGATATTGGTAACCAAAGCTTATACAGTAACTGTTGAAAGAAAGAAGCTTCTAATAGCTCTCATAGAAGTAGAAAGGTTTATTACCTCCTCAACATTCTGTGCAGTTTTTGCAGAAGCCTCCATGAATATCAACCCATTCTCCTTGGCAAACTGTTCGCCTTCTTCTGTGCTCACTGCCCTTCTGTGAGCAAGATCACACTTGTTGCCAATAAGCATAATTGTCATGTTTGCATTTGCATGCTGTCTTGCATCTTCAAGCCAGCTAGCCAAATGATTAAAAGTTTCTCTCCTAAAAAATGGAAACAATAAATGAAATACAAGGGTATAACCAACAACATACAGCCTTTAAAGGACTAATACTAAGATTACGTAGAAACCCACATATTGCCTATTTGATTTTTCTAAAGTCCTATCTATGTGTGTGTTGGAGAAAGAGAGAAAGACCTTTTTATTCATATCGCAATCCACTTATAAAACAACTCTGCAGCCTGTGGAACTAACAATTTTTTAACTTAAAAAGTATCCCCGACTCCTTTTAGTATAGATTTCGAAACGCTGCAACCAATGTCACAGGACATGCACAAAATGCCTGAAGTTAGCAACCCAAATCACTTCCCTTTATTCTCAATTGAAAATACCAAAAGACTGCTTTAGGTTGCTTGCTAATGTGTGCTAATATTATTGGGTTGCCTCAAGTTTGTTATGTGACATTGATTGCAGTAGATGCAAAATCAGATTGCTATTTGTAATTTAATATTGAGGACTAATCAATAAAAGTTTGGCTGATAAAATAAATATAATACAATCTGTTGCTTCTATGTCTCCATTCAAGTCACATATTGTTCCAAACATGGATGTCCTTGTCACATAGTTTCACAATTCAAAAAGTAGTACCTGGTGATATCATAGACTAGCAGAGCACCTGCAGCCCCCCTGTAGTAAGACCTTGTGATCGATCTGAATGATTCTTGACCAGCCTGATATATTCCAATGGTAACTTCAGCATTATAAAATTATAACGTTGGTGGACAATAACTAACTTAACTTCAGAATTATTATACCAGGGTTTTATACAATTCTAATAAATACAATTGCATTTTGTAATTAAAATTAATGAATAAAGGGTGAATACTCAAGTATGGAATACTGCAATTATTAACCACATCAAATTTCCAAATTAAAATGGAGAACTTCTGCAAGAGTGTAAGTTGCAGCCAGGTTCCCATGATTATATCAAGCAACAATGTTGCAATACTTACAATCAAGTTATTAGAGTTCATTCTATGCATAGATACTTGACCAAGTTCCAGCTTTACAAATTAATGTTTTAAAAAGAGAGTTATACTTCTCAATGTCAATTAATTACTAAGAATCCTCCTTGTTACAGAAATCCTCCAAGCCACTAATTCCTTTCCTTCACTAATCAAAATTCAAAATAAACCTGGAGATATTCTAATTCTAAGACCAAAATAAAGTATTTAAGCTACAAACATTGCAATTAGCCTATCGTTTATGAGAGTCATTTAAGTAAAAAATGCCTTCTGTTTAAATGTAACAGCCTTTGACTAATTACTTTAAAGTTATTGTTCCACTTGAAAGCCTTTAATTTCCAATCCAAACTGTTCATCTGATACATAACCATTATTTTAACCATGTGATCATTTCTATTTTTCATTTCAGCCACATATCCAACCATGTATTGATCTTTAACCATGTGGATGGAAGCAATTCTTTCTTCCCTTAAAACAAAAAAAGAAAAGGTGCTATAAAAGGAGGCTCCCTCTGACTGAAACCAGGAAAGTGAAGGGTGGAAGTAGCACATAATGTCGATCTCTCTGGCCCTTCCACTTCAGCTGCTTCATATAAAAAAATAACACCCATAATTGTTGAGTCCAAACAGATGACCTAGCCTTTTTTTTTCTTCTAAGAGGAAAAAGAATTAGAATAAAAACTTTTGGCACCACAGCCAATTAGTTGATTATTATTAGAAAGCTTGCTATTTTCTAGGTACATCCATGTAACTTGGGCTTGGTATACAAATTACTATCAAAGTAAGAAACTGCAAGGGATGTGAACCCATGTTTCCTGTGGGTGACTCACCAAAGAGATTGATCATTATCAGCTGGTCAGGCCATTGGGTTGATCCTGTATCACTCCATTACATCAGCTGAAGTCATAAACAACGTAGTGAAAACCAGACTAGACAATGGAGCAGGAAAAAGGCCTAGTATCAGTGACTATCCAAAACAAAAACAAGGCCTGGTAAGAGTTTTTCCCAGTTTAACCAAGTAATTAAACCTTAAAACTGCCAAAAACTGAACTGTTCCCATTAAACCAGATTTCGGACTTGTTCTGGTTTCCAGAGCATTGGTCATAATAGAAGGAAACAAGAAACGGAAAAAAAAATCCAAAGTATCAACTAGGAGAAAATAAAAATTAAAAAGAAGAGGCCATATTTGTTCAAAGTCTGGAAATAGTGGTTAAAATCAACAAATCCATCATCTTTAAACACCTGCAATTCCATTTGTCCTTAAGGGGACATTGCTCGGTGTACTGGTAAAATTTCGGGCTGACTAGTGTTAGAACATGGATTAGGATCTGAAAGCAGCCACTTTACACAAAAAAAGTAAAAGAAAAAAAAAAGGCAAATATTAGGTCCACATCCAATCTCCCTCCCCAGACCCCAGATAGATTGGACCAACATTGGGTAATGGCCTTTTTGATACCATTTTCCCTAAAAATAGAAAGAAATTCTATCACATTGCACATGATGTTGGTGCATTCAGGACCAAATCCATAGATTGAAGTCTATTATTTCTCAACATTCCTAGTTTATGTGAAGACGATCTGTTTTTTGTAATTCGCCATTATTCGTGCATTGGAAACATATGCACTTTGCACCCTTCCATTAAAATAAAATTAAGGGTCCGTTTGGTTCACAGCCAGAATCGGAATCGGAATGGCATCTATTCCCATAGTCTGTTTGGTTCAGACTGGAATGGGAATGGGAATTGGAATCAGCAGGAATGAGATTTCATTCCCAAGGGAGGGGCAGGGAATGGCCATTCCCTCGAATGGGGGAATGCCATTCCAGCAGGAATGGGAATGGGATTCCAATTCTGCCCAACCAAACAGTAGGAATCGGAATAGCCCATTCTGATTCCGATTCCAGACCCCTATTCCTGCGAACAAAACGGGGCCTAAATTTCTCAAACATCTCTTTATTTACAAGCACAACAAACAACTACAGCTGGCATTTCTTTTAGGATCAATATGAAAACTTTATTTTCCAATTCCACCCAACCAAACAGTTGGAACCGGAATAGCCCATTCCGATTCCCATTCCAAACCCCTATTCCTGTGAACCAAAGAGGGCCTAAATTTCTCAAACATCTCTTTATTTAAAAGCACAACAGACAATTAAAAAACAACTACAGCTGGCATTTCTTTTAGGATCAATATGAAAACTTTATTAATTCGAAAAAAGTACAAAATTACAACATTAAACCAAGCAGGGAAGAGAAAAACCATGGTATGGCCACTTAGTGGTGAGCAAGAAAAACTGAACAACCGAACCAAACTGACAAGACTGAACTGAAAATTAACTGAACCGATCGGTATACATATATTTCTATATATTATATGTATATTATATATATTTATATATATATATATATTATATTTTCTATATATTATAAATTAACAAAATATGCATTATATATATAAATACATATTTATAATATATAATATATATTATTTATTATTTAAGATATAATATTTTGTATATTTCTAGTTTTTATTATATATTTGTATATTTTTATAATATATTCTATAAATATAAAAAAACTGAAAAAACCGATGAACCGAACCGACAGTTAACTGGTTCGGTTGAGCACCCCTAGCCACTATTACTAGGAGTCTACTGGTTTACAACAAGTGCAAGAGAATATGAAGATGGAAGAGATGGAAATCAATACAGCTTGTTCCTCTCAAACACAGTTCATTCTTCTTTAAAAAAATCAGCTCATTTCTCTCAAAGAAATCTGACATTTAATTTATTTTCCATCAATTGGGTTTTCCTGAGTAAATTTCTTTTTGCATCACACATTATAATCATCATTTTCCTTAATAACCAATTGATGATACCCAGTTATATTGCAGACATGCAGAAATTAGATTCTTCAGAAGAATTTTAAACAAGTTGCACAGAATTAAATGTGTTTCAGATTTTTCCACTTTTTGAAGTCATCAGGTTGAACAGTTAATATAAACTCCAAACACTAACAGACATAGTACTGCTGATGCAAGAGCTGAAGAGTCAAAATTGGAATTTTATGATATTTTGTGTATTTCTGTATTTTTGGACAATAGGGGTATTTTTGTCACTTGTACAATTTTCTGTCGAGTCCATTGATAGGGTTTAATTTGTCTAGTTATAGTTTTTTATGTTTAAAATTTCAGAGTCATTGCATAAGTAGGATTAAAATTATTGAGTCTTCTTTGAATTGAAATATATGACAACTTAGTTTGAGTCAGATTATTGAGTCTAACAGTTTGACTCCTAAGACTATTATGAGTCTAACAGTTTGACTCCTAGGATTATTACAAGTTTAGAGTCTATAATATGTATGGACGTTTTACACAAAGGCAATGAATTATATTGACTTTTCTTCAGCTTATGCTAGCTATGGTGAGTGATTCTAGGCACCCTGTGAGTGATTCCAGGTATTTTCTCTCTTCTTTCTCTCCCTATTTTCTCTCTTATTCCTTCAAGAAGCCATTACAGCCATTGACAGCCATAAAACTCTGATCAAGAAGACCATTCAACATTCTCTAAGGACTAGAACTGAACTAGTCCTACATCAGTTGATATTAGAGCTAATGGTTTATTCACTATGTTCTCACAAAGTGATCGATTCTATAGGCCTAGGGTATCTTCTAAACAATCTTACAGGTCTAGAATCAATGATGATTGGGTTTCTAAACCATATGAAGGGTCTTTGGTTGACTTATTTGAGAAGATGGTGGAAGAAAACAGATCTAAAAATGTTTACTACGGGAGTAAGGTTTTCAAACATGTTAGAGGAGAAAGGGAAATACCAGATTTCAAAGGAGATGATGATCTGCAAGTATTCTTTGATTGGGCTTCTGAATTAGAAGAATATTTTTATTGGCATGATATGTTTGACAAACAAAGGATTAGATTTGAACGCATGAAATTGATGGGTCATGCTACTAAAGTATGGTGGAGAACTCTTGAGCAACGACTAAAAAATAGAGGTGATGATCCTACTAGTACATGGACAAAAATGAAGAGGTGTTTGCAAGAAAAATACACCCAATTGGACTTCCATTATGATCTATATATGGAGTTGACTAATTTCAAGCAAGAGAAGAAGCAGCATGTTACAACAAAGAACTTGAAGTCAATGGGAATAAGGTACAAAGTTGAAAAGAAAGTAGATGATTCCTTGCATGCTGATGCCTATCCTAGAGATGAAGTTGAGGATGAAGCTAAAGAAGAATTTACGGCTAAAGAATTTGTAGATATTAAAAATCAAGAGGGTGCAGTCCAAGAAAAAACAGAAATTGCTGGAGTTTCCAACACTCATGATCAGCTTGAGGTCAATGGTCAAGAAACCAAAGCTTTTCTCTTAGAAAGAGCCTTCAGTGTAGAGGAGGTCCATGAAGCAATTTTCTCGATGGATAGATCTAAAGCTCTGGCTCAGGATGGTTTTTCAATGGCTTTCTATCAAGATTGTTGGGAAATCTTGAAAGATGATTTAATGGATGTCTTTGTTGAGTTCTATCAAAAAGGGAAATTCTCTCCAGGAGAAAATGCAACCTTTATTGCTCTAGTGCCAAAAAAGAAAGAGGCCAAAACCCCCAAGGATTACAGACCGATAAGTATTGTGGGTAGCATGTACAAAATCATTGCTAAAGTTCTGGCTGGTTGGTTGAAGACAGTCTTGCCCTT